AACTTAATCAGACTCTCAGAGTTTAAAAACCTTACAGTTTAATTTACACCATTTCTTCTTACTATGTCAAGCTAGCTTTCCACACTGAAAACAATATACTAAGAGTCACCAGGAGACAAAAAAGAAAAAAAGAAAAAGCTATGAGAGGAATAAACTAGAAAATTTCTGTTCATTATTTGTAAATTAAAAGGACAGTTATTCAAAGCAACTTTCTACAATCATAAAGCAGATGTTTATGATAAATTATAAGCATGTTTTCCAACCTTCTGCATCAGTAAGACAGAAGTTTTAATACTGAAGATCTGTACAAGAAATAAAAAAATACCATAATTTCTGACATCAAAAAGTAAACAGACCAAAATCTCACTGAAGCAGTGACTTGTCCTTTAAGTACTGATTAACAGTACGTAATTTTCCACTTTCCTCCTGGCTAAGACCTCTTCATTCGTATGGCAGTAAAAGTACCAGGAAAAAAATAGAGAATTCAACCTAACCAAACATTAACCAACAATTATTTTGAAGAAATAATCTGAAACATTTCCATAATTATAAAATTACATGATTCACTCTGAAAAACCTAAACAAAAAAAGCAAAATAAAAAGCCATGTTATGGCTGAAGCTTCTGAGTTTCATTCAGTATCTGAAAAAAATTGAGCTGTTTGTTCAGGGCATCCCTTATAGAAGCTATGAACAGATTTCTTTTGACCTTCATGCAGCATAAAAATTAGAATTCCAGTTTTAGCTATGGTTTAGTTGTGATTATCAATACAATTTTGTGATAAAATCTTGGAAAAGCCTTAAGAAAAAGCCTACTTTGTGGAATCTGCCTGACCGCACAGAACATACACATTTTGCCCTTCCATAATGTACTGCAACACTACTTATATTTTGCTACTCATGCATAGTCTAGCAGTCACAATAGGTTAGATGCAACTGCACCAGAAGACAGAACACACTGTAGTTTGAAGGTCATATAGATGTATGAATCTTAAAAACAGATAACAATATTTATACAAGTCATAGAAAATCACATTAGCTACACATCTGTCTCCCTAATATTAAGAACAAGTAATAAATTCTTTTATAATTGTTTGACTTGAGGAGATTGCTTACACATGCAGTTGAAAGTACCACATCTCTTTATAAAATTATACCTAGATGAACAGATGACATGCTTTTAAAAATTTCGAATTCTAGCCCTAACAATTAAGAACACAAACAACAAAATTACAGGAGCATTTACTAAAACCAGGAAAAGCACCAAGTCGCTTTTGTTTAGTATATTCAAAGAGCAACACAGCCCTCTAGTGGAAAAGTTAGAAAATACGACTTCATTCACCCAAGCATGCTAGGAAAGTATTTTCACTTCAACCTGACATTGAAACCTCTAAAACAGAAAAACAACGATCACACAGAATTGCACACTGTCTTCAGCTCCTCATAGTGGACTAAGTCTTTCTGACTTGAAGCGAACAAACTGACAATTTACACTATTCATGTTTAAACACAGATAGAACAATATGTTTTTAAAACCACAAGGATTGACACAATACCACTAAACTGTGCAGTTTTGTTGCTCCTTTACTGTGAACGAGAGTTACCTCAACTTCTAATGTGATTCTCAGACTAAAATTTTGATTGAGCTTAAAAAAATAGATGAGAAAAAGATCCAAAGAACAGCTGGGCTGCACTGTCAGAAGAAAAAGCTTCCAAAAAAAAAGAAAAAAGAAAAATTTTATGAATCATTCTTGATCTGCTATGCTCTCTTTACATTTTAAGAACAGAATAATTCATTAACCTTTTCCAAGTTGCTAACAAAAACTAATGAAGTGTTTATAAATATGGAGTTTTTTTAGTATTTAACTTTCCTCACACACATGCTTTTTGCAGCAGTTTTAAAGACTGAGTTAAGAAAGTGGGTATATAATCTAAAAGATTCTTGCAGTTCATATTCCTAATCAAAAATGAAAAAAAAGCCACCACATGGCAGACAGTCTCCCCATTCTACAGACATGTTAAAAGACATTTATGACAATGAAGTAACAATGGAGAGGCCAGTAGGTGTGATACGACCAGAACTCTATCACTGCTGAAGTCATTCAAAGTATTGCCTCTGAAATTAAGCAAGCATCCCTATTTTTCAGAAGTTGAGATTTTTCAACTGGCAAGATACGCTGGATTCCCACAGATTCACAAATGAAGTAAATTAACATATCATTCCATCTTCGTTGATCTGGTTTGAACTTTGCTATCTTGAAGCAGTGTATATAGATGAATTGAAAAAAAAAACCCAACAAAACAAAACAAAGCAAAACTATGTTCAACCACCTTTCAAGGGATTCTCAGCATTTTCCAAACTTTAACTTAAGCATTTCTGCATTTTGATAGACCACAGTCTACCAACTTACACTTTGATCTTTGCCCTTCCCATCTCAAAATGAAAAATTTGTCAACAACCAAGGAAAAAAAAAAGATAAAAAAATCGATACCATAAAGTTAGTTTCAAGTATGTTATTGAAACCAATTTTGACAACCATTAAACCATTAAAGGGTTGGGTAATTATTTTTCTTACATTATTAAGCACGAATGCTCAACAAGTAATACTTACTTTTTCAATCACGTTCTACTTACTGGACAGCAATATTTCCTGGGAAATATTTACACATGATTCCTGAAGAAAGCATGTTAAGTTTTCTGAAAACACAGTAATTCTTTACCTCTCAAAATACTCAGGGAAGGAACTATTAGCTCAAAAATACAGATTGATTAAAAGGACTATCAATTACACAAAGTGGAACACTCCTAAAATAACTGGGGAATAAGCTTCAAAACTGGTAGGACTCCACTTAAGCTAGCTAATTAGTATTTCCACAGTGTCCCAAAGAATTGTGTAGGCATACTGAAGTTCACAGGGATCTCTACATTGCAATCCATTACATGACACTGACATCTTCAAAGCAGTTTGCCAAGAGTCACAAAGCACAGTTAAGAAAGCTAAGCCTGATACATTTTAAGGACTCAGACGACAAGAGTTCCAAGAAAACTTGAAATTCTGCCAATTAGTGGGACAAGAAGACTATTAACCGACCCCAAAGAGGGAGTATTCCCTTCACACAACACCAAGGAGTCTGAACCTTGTTCTTCTCCATCAAACATGTCAATCAGAAGTCACAACTGGCACAAGCTCAGCTCTTATTATACCCTCTGTCAGAAACCCTTTGAGCTAGGACAAAAAAGGGCATAGCATTTATCAGAAACATAAACCCTATGACTGCCTTCTCCTTAATTCACACTCCATGGCAACTAGTATCAGACACAAAGCCTGGGACTATAGGCAATAACACCTTCATCACATATTTACTACATCATCTTCATCGTTTTGGATTCCTTATGCCTTAACCTCATATACCAGCACAAGCCCAAGTTTTATTTCACTAATGCTCCCACTCTTCTTAGCATGCTTCTGACCATAAGTGATATCATGCCCTCACCTACTAACAGAAATCAAGAAAGTATATATGTGCATGTATATATATATCTGGGCATATATGTCACAAGCAAAGATTATCTGGTGCAAGGACATTGCTTTCTGACTTATGATCTATCCAGATTATAAACTAAGGGAGAAACAGGGTGAAGGTGAATCTTGACAAAAGAATTATACATCTTGGAATAATCTTTTGCCATTTATGAAACACTTTCAGCTCACTCAGCAAGTCTGAATGGCAGCTCTCTCCTGCTGAAGGCAAATCATTTGAGTCCAGGTAATTCTTATGTGTGCTGCGACTACACAGTTGCATACAAAGCAAATTGTCCTGCTGGATGCAATGTAAAGACATCCTGTATCAATAATCTGGAACGTCCACCTTACGAGAAAACACAAATTCCTCATTGAGACAGATAAGTACAACACTTGCTGCCCTAACTGTAACACCAATCTGTAGTAGCATATCATGCAATGACAGCAGGCCGCATGCTTTTAATGCCTAAATACCAAGCCACAATAAAGCTCTAAGTTTTTTATCTGACTCCTGTGGAATAACACTCCCCAAAATAATCCAGAGAGAAAGACCAAGAGGATTTGGAGTGGCAAGTCCTGCTATTAACCCCTTTTCCAGAACGTCTCTAAGGTTTTCCTATGTCTTTATAAATGCACTTACGTCAAGATCCGGCACTAAAGAGACCCCAAATATTTTGCAAAAGGACTTGTTCAATATTGAGATAATCCTATCACAAAGAAAAACCCAAAGACAAAAGGGAACACGAGAATAACAGTTACCTAAGACTTAGGTAGATCCCTTCATTTACAAAAAAAAGATCAAATCTAACACCAAACCAGTGTTCTGATATTTGTGGCTTCTCCACAAATCTAAGCCACAGAAAAAGACCTATCCTGTGCAGGTTGCTGACTAAAACTTCAAACAGCCTAGAAAATTAAGTTGGAGGAGAAATCCTGTCTTCTGAGAAGAAAGGTGGAGCCCATAAGCACCAAAGCTTTACTATAAAACATAACAAAAGTAGCTAAGTAGAATTTCTCACCCACTATAGAAGTAATACTATGTAACAGATACCTTAACAAGCTGAGTATCTAAAAAGACACGTGAACACACTGGAAAATACAACTAAGGGGGATTTCAAAAGGTCATAAATGTTTTTGCTCTGAAGGACCACTAACAAAAGTTCATCAGCAAGTTGACCTGGAAATACTTTCAGCGATAAAAATTCTATGGCCTCCTTGGACAATCTCTTACCTGAGTTTACTTCCTGGCATTAAAAAGTTTTTTATGAACGCTTTATCTAAATTCCCATGCAACCATTCAAGTTTTACTCCTTGTCCTACACATCGAGGCCGTAAAAAGAGAAGGAAACTTCCTGTCCCTTTCGCAGGCATCCTCTATATATTTAGGTAATGTAAAATGCCTCCATCAATACTTGTGGAGATAAGAATCAATTTCAGAACCTGATGTCTCCCCTGCAGCTCACCTCGAAGCTCCAAATTCTCCACACTTTCTTAAAAAGCAGTACACAAACCTGAACATAGTTTTCTAACTATATGTTTCATATGGAAATGATGCAAACCAAGTTTGAACACCAAAAGTACATGGCTATTTAAACAAAGTAGCCTGAAAGATAAAGATGGCTATATTTACCTTATGTAATCTTAACCTACCTATTCCTGAATTTGCTCCCGTGATTATAACCACTTTCCCACTCAGATCACGGCCCTGGAGTATTTCCATTGCAGTGCTGTTTCCATCATATTTTTGTCTAGTAGTAGGTTTTGCTGGATTATCTTCAACTGTAAAGGCCAGTCTTGGGTCAAGGTAGGTAGTCCGTTTGTTTATGTGGCTGCAAAAGAACATAAAAATTCAACTGCTTGGGCCCTTCTGTACTCTGCACTGAGATTTTAAATGTATTTCAACCACTGTTCAGTACAATCCCAGTGGATTTCTTAAATTCCCAAAAATCCTTTTGTTAAAATGATCCCAGTTGTTTTCTTTATCATCAAACATTCTCCCAGTTATAACAGTGCCCATTAATAACTGTATTCACATACTTCACGACGCTGTTCTGAACTTCATATGAACCCATGATACAGAAAGCAAAATTTTGTCAAGGGAAAAATCTCATTATATTGGGAAAGATCATGTTCTCTTAGGAGCTCTGTAAAAGGGGCCTACACTACTCCCTTGAAAAAATATACCAATGAGAAATGTAGCTTAGTACTTCTTCCTCAAGCAACCAAAACCAAATAGCTTCACATCAGCTTAGCAAATGGCACAATTTAGGTCAGGCTCACCTTTCTAAAACAGAGTTTTCGTTTTTCTTTTGACAATTATCAGAAAAAGCCACTAAGACACAACTTTCAGCCCTTAATTATAGTACAGAGAGGCTACGCTTACTATTTTAGCCTGTGAATATTCTTCATTCTGCCAAGCCAGTTTAAGATAACTACCCCATTTTGACCCTACCATTGAAAAGATACAGAAGGAAACATTCCCAGAATTCTTTCTTCTTCTGTGACCGTTCCCTTCCAAACACCTTTGCTATCTCAATCCCCGTCTTCCTTTCCATGGTTCACATTGCAAGTGAGTCAGAGTTGCAGCAATTTTTTTTTTTATCTTGTATTTTAAAGCACTACCACAATGTTAATAATCGGCAATGAAGTTCTAGATATGTTTTTAAAGTTAGCACAGAGTTTATCCTAAAGGTATACAAACAAAATGAGCCCACATAAACAGTGACTAGCTCACATTTTGAGATGCGGATACCCAAGTCACTTCACTCCAGCCCCCACATTAGTAATTCTATGCACATGAGAGAATTCAGAAAAATACAAATGAGTGTTTAGACACTGCTACAACTGTAATTTCTGCATATGGATTATTAAATTATATTTATTAATTTATTTGTCTTTCCAGCTGATAGTCAGTGATAACTCAAAAAGGCTACCCAACACGAAACACAGTTGTGCTACTTGTCCATGTTCTACATTTTGACATACTTACTCTACAAAATAGACTTGTCCATTTTCATCAGTTTCCTGCTCCCATCCATATGGCAGACCTAGGAAGCATAAAATACTAACTTCATTAAAAGTATATTCAGATTTGAAGTGATTTCTCAGACAGATGTGGCAAAATTCTGCATTATTTCTGTAGGTAATGCAACTACCTGCTGCACTTGAATATTGTCACTTGAAAGAAGGATTGCTTCCCTAATCATGCACAATTGCTCTCTAATAAAACTACAACATACAGGAGGTCTGGTAAAACTGTAATAAATAGAATATGAAGTATAATCTAAAAATTATTTATAAAGATTATTCCATGTTACAGCACAAACCAGCAAAATGTAAACTTGCTTCCTACTACATACACATGTCTATACTGCATACAGTTTAGCTATCCCTAAAAGTAAATTGCAAAAACACTGAACTAAGCGTAGAAAAAGTTATGTGTAACATATACTAGTAGTTGGAAGATCAGAACTCTCAAGTGGGTATGGGATATGTTAAATCAAATCTAAATGATTCTATGATTCTATGAAGTTGGAAGGACAGATAAAAGAAAAAAAATGACAAATCTTTATAAAATAAATTCTTATATAAAAAACCTCACAGAAATACTTAACAAATAGCATTCCCAGTATTTCTAATCCTGACTGAAAAGTATTCATTTGCAATTCAATTGGCTCAAAATCTACTGAAAACATTCCAGTTATAGTCACATTACCAATGCCAGAAGAAGTATGGCTTTCCAACAGTACAGTACACCTACGTAAGCCATATAAATGTTTCTGGGAAGACCTAATTTAAGGCACTGATCCAAGGTCCTTAAGAAGTCATTTACCTTTGGAAGCGTCCTGCAACACTGTCTGTCTTATGATTTGGCACAAGCTTTCAGGTAAATTGGGAAAATAAACAAAATTAAACTGATGTGACTTTCTTCTGTGCCAGGAATATTCTTTGATTTATATAATCCAACTATAAATATTACCTCATGAACAGCAGGAAATCAGAATGGAATCAGAGAATCCCAGCCTCATACAATCAATGCTTTACAGGTAACAGTAAAACAATTGTGGAATTAGTATTTTGGCTTTATGGAGCAATACAAGAAAGCCATAAAACTGCAAAATGATCACTCTACACAGACATTATCACATAGGTAAAACCTCACTGAAGTCATTTTGCTGTATTTTACAAGCTCAGTTTGCCTAGGTGATTAGTGTCAACTAGAAGATCAAAATGAGATCTACTTCCCGCACAAACTCCAACTGATGTTTGTAACATAATTTCAGTTTGTTACAAAACCTTAACACAAACCTCCTGCAACACGTTTCCTCTTCCCAGACTTAGGGTGTTCCCATTGTGTCTTTTCTTCCAGATGGCTGTAGGAAAAGGAAAGTTTAAGATATTAAAAAATTGCCTAATAATTCTTCTGATGTAATACAAAGGTTTTATTTTCATACAGTGAAGAGTAACTATTATTTTTTTTTTTTAAATATTTGGCTTGTCTGCCACAAAAAAAAAAGAAACATGACAATCTCTCGTTTAAGAAAGGTCAAAACTGCAGTTAGAAGTCATCAGGCTTCCATACTGCCACAGTTCTGAAAATAACTAACAAGAGAGCATAGGAGTCTATAAAAATTCAAATAGCCATCTGACTTCCAATGTAAGTTTTGTTGCTTGATAAGAAAGAACCCCAAAAGTCATTCAAGAATAGCATCAACAAAGAATAACATCAACAGACTCAGAAAATTTCTCAAACAGATGCTGATCCTTGGCAGGAAAAAGGAAGAAAAAAGCAAAAAGAAAATTTATCAGAAATTAGTAGAAATATCAGAAATTTTTCAAATCACAAAAGCACCTTTTTATGACTTTTGTCAAATAATACTGAATTGTAAGCTATGAGGTAAATAAGTCTGGATTTCTACATGAACAACTGCAGCTTTAGACAAACAAGTTTATCCAAAGGCCTTGACTATTTATTTAAAATGAGCAATCATATCTCTTATAATTCTGAGATTTTATTCACTTACATCACTCTAAGAGAATTAATACATTCTATCAAAAGGTTTTCTGCACTACAGGCTAATAAGTGATGTACACATAAACAAGGTCTTAAAATACTAAAGTGCTGAAATCAGGTTGGATATTATCTTTTATTAAATATTTTAAAATAATAACCAAAAATCAGGGATTACTTAAGAAAGTGTCCAAAATAACAGCTGCCTAAGTATGAAATACAAACTGGCATTATTGAATAACTACAGATATAGTAGCAACAATTTGCACAAAACATAAGCAAATTTTCCTTCTTATAATAACCACATAGTTAGCCCACAATGACAGTACACTGTATTACACGAATCAGCTGATGGGCTGAGGTCAAATAAGTACATATGTGTGACCTGCAGTGGCACCTGAACTTCAGGACACTCATATGCTAAAGACTCAAGATCCTAAGTTACTCCTGTCTGACGAGAGATACCAAACTACTATAGCTTGACAAATGCACTCCCAGCCACTTTCAGTACTTGACTGTGGGCACACTTCACTTGAAGACCTCAAAAAGTCTTAAGCCAAAGTAACCCTATTCCAGCTAGGTTTAAAGTTCATATTGTTGATAAGGATTTAAAAAAAGTATTCAGAATATGCAGAGGCATCAAAGATATAGAGCTCATTTTAAAGGTAGCAGCAGCATAACACCTCTTTGTGTCAAGTATTTTTTAAACACATTGGGCAAGATTGTCAGGCAGTAAAGACATATTAACACCATGTCATTAAATTGAATAAGTTTCATAACAGTTAAAAAGCAGGCCAATTGAACTAATTGCTTCTGTAAAAATTACTCTCGGTAGCATTATTATTTTGTAGGTCTGTTACTTTCAACAAGTGATTGTTTTCTGAAAGAGCTTTTGAAGTCAAGCAAATATAGAGAAGTTTGACCTGAGGAAAATGAAACTCTAGAGAGTATTTGCAGTGCTTACAAAGTTCAGGCTAAAACATTCTGTCCAGTGCTTGTAAAGCAGAACTTGGGAGGAAGATGCCAACCCACCACAGGTGAGAATGCACTACACTTTTCCCCCTTTTTGTGGGATGGAATAAATCCTGCAAATTTAAAGAGACTGAAACAGATTTCGAGAGCAGCATGGCTCTGGAAACCACAAGAGAGAAGAATATACATATATATATTCCACTAATTTAGTCAGCCCTATGGTCCGTCCCTTTCTGTTACCACTGGGAACGCAGTCATTTTCAGAGTGGCACCAGCAGATGGCGCTAAATACAAATTTTTATCTCTTGTCAAAGGTGTGGTATACTGAAGAGCTGCAGGGGGGCATATATAGGTTTTAGCTTTCACCATACCTGTCTCTCCTCTATTCCTACAAGGAGGAAAAACTCAGCAAGCTACACTATTGAGCAAGTCTCAACCACCCATATGTATAAAGAATCACCAATCAGGGACTGCAGTGATAGGACGAGGAATTTAAACTTAAACAGGGGAAGTTCACATAGAAAAAAAGAAATTCTTCACTGGGTGGTGAGGCACTGGAACTGGTTGCCCAAGGAAGTGAATGCCCCATTCCTGGCAGTGTTCAAGGCCAGGTTGGACAACGTCTTGGGCAGCATGGTCTAGTGTGAGGCGTCCCCGCCGGTGGCAGGGAGTTGGAAATAGATGATCTTAAGGTCCTTTTCAACCCAAACCACTCTATGATTACCCACGGAACCACTTAGCGAAGCGCAACAGCAGCAGCCGTATGACAGCTCGCTGAACCCAGGAGGGGCCAGAGCCGCTTCAGCAGCGCTCCCAACACGAGGATGGGGATGCTGTGGCTCTGTCCGGCGGCGGTAAGAACGGCACACACCTGCCTGTCCGCTCCCCTCAGCTCCTCCGGCGGGCACCCGTGGGGCTCGGCCCGGGAGGACGGCGCTGGGAGAGCCCAGCCCACACTCGGCTCTCCCCGGAGCCAGGAGTGACCGCCGTATGCGGAAACCGAGTCACACGGAGACCGGTCCTGCCACCCAGCCCTGGCCCTGCCTCAGCCCCAGCTCGCCGCGGTGGTACTGAGCGGAAAATGACGGCTCCTGCCCCTCCGGCCCCCACGCTGAGGGGGCAGCTGCGGCGGATGCACGGATGCTGCTCCAGGGGGAAGGCGCGGGCGGTCAGGGGGCTGAGGCTGGCTCGCCCCGCTCCCTTACTTGGCGTAATAGACCCAACCGTCGCGGGTGGTGCGCTCCTCCCAGCCCGGCGGCAGCTCCTCCTCGCTGTCGGTGTCCTCCAGCCCCGCGTACTTCAGCGCCGCCATTGGGACGGGTACCCCGCGCAGAGCCACTCCGTCCCGCGGCCTTGTGCCGTCCCGCCCCTTCCGGTCGGTCCAGCCAATGGTGCAGCGCGGTGGCCCCGGGGCACGATGGGAAGTGTAGTCCCTAAGGGGGCCTGAGGCCGTGGTCTCAGGCTGGGGTAGCCGCGGGTTTTACCTGTATCTCTGAGGTTTTAACCTCTAACGAGCGCAGGGCTGCGTTGACATTGTCACGAGTGGCACAAGAATCTCAGGTTTTGGGGCATTACATGTTCCCAGCCTCTGTGAACACCATGAGGCCCAGAAAGTGATGAGAAATGAACTGTTCTTTAAGCAATTAGTTGTCACCTCCTGGTCTCTGGGATGAGATTCTCCTCCATAGGCATGTCAGACAGAGCTCCTTCTTGTTTACTTTGACGGCTGAGGAAAGACATGACTAGAGAGAGGTACCTCACAGCGGTGGGAGGCTGCAGGCTGCCTCACCTGCCCCTGGCAGAACCTGTGTCATCTGGACACATAAACACGGCCAAATACAAAGACTGAGGTGTCCCAGGTCAGTAAGCTGCAGTAACCTGTACTAACCCCTGTCCTGGCTGCTGAATCCCTGTCAGCCCACTGTGCAACTGTGACAGATGAAGCACCTCGTGTGTTACCATTACTCATCTGACAAGGCATACACCGGACCTACCTTAGTGCTTTTGGTACCGTACCTGTTTGCTAAACATACTCATATTTATTTATATCACCAAACCGGATGTCGGCATTTGTGATAGCATCTTCCCATCGTAGTGCTTTTGCAGGCGTTCTAAGCTGTGCTGGACAAAGCCTGTAATCACTGAGTACTACACCAGGTGGCAGTGCGAGCCCAAGAATGCAGTAGAGCGCTCTGACTCCTTCGGGTAAAGTTTTCACGCGCTGTTTGAGACACTGACCTATACGGCTCACTCGCTCACTACTAATGGCATGAATATCCGTCTCTGGAAAAAGCAGCCTGTGCTTTTTTCTGCCTTGTTGCTCCCATCCCTCTTGCATGTTCCCCTGAGGAATTACACCTATTAAATTATCTCCTTCTAGAAATACAACCTCATGCATCATCAAGAGCCAGTTTTCATGAGAGTATTACTGGGAGTATTTAAAAAAGGCTGTGCCCATACTCTCCTGGATAAACATATGGTATAGGAGAGTTCAGTGACGTGCTCATTTCTAGACCAGGGAGCTGGTGGGATACTCCATAATTGACCAAGTGGAGAGATGTGCCAGGTCTCAAGAAAATAAATTGATTAAGTCAATATTTGAAGTGCAGAAAAGGTGTATTTATCCAGCAGTAATACTGTAGGAGAAGGTAGTTGTTAGTTATCTTCCTGTTGCAGTTTGTTAGTATTCAGCCTCCCATGTCTGTGACTTGCGTTAGTGGGAATGTGGAAATCATTTGTCTGACAGTTATACAGTCCCAACCATCTGTATTGCATGAAGGATGCATTATGTCCTAAATGTAAACAGCAGCATTACCATATTTCAGTGCTAAGGGTGAACAGTGCACTTTACAAAGAAAAACAGAATCTTAAAATGCAGTATATGTGTGTATATACACCCATTAGGTAGAGTCACTGCCTGCCACATACAAATATTTATGGAATGAAAAGCAACAGCTTTGTTTGACAGAGCAACATGGATATTAACAAACTGTCTTCAAGTCCTTGGTACTAGAGTAATAAGAAACCACATGTCTTATAGGTTTATATGGTTTTCAGTGCAATTTCAGTTTTTACAAAAATATTTAAGAAACCCCACACTTCCCTCTGAAAATTCATACTCAACATTCTAACAGTTATGATCTATAGTTTCACAAATATTTCTTCCCCTCTACTTTTAACCACTTCCTTCTTTTCAAGAAGTTTCTACTGGGGAGGAGGGAAGGAGGGGAGTAAAGTCGCAACTTTTGACAATTTGGTGACTTCTGTTTTTTACTTAATTGTTTCAAGGAATGTTAAAGTTCAACCATGTATTTCAATTTTAAATGGAAGACTTATTCTCTTTCAGAGGTCAGATAAATCTTTACCCATCTTTTCAAGTTCTTACATCAATTATCTATGTATCTTACCTACTTAATCCAAACCAAGAATCTTCATGTGGACATAAGAAATTAAGGTATGATTTCAGTGAGGGTCTACACAAGTTCAGGTTTCTGTCCGGTTGTACTAAATTGCAGAACTAGTTCTGTTAGGCTTCTTAAATGGCAGAAAGCAAGGGCCATGATTTCTGCAAGAGCAGGACTGTAACTTTAGGACAGGAGACAGAGGCCTGTAACAGTTTTGCCACAAATTAAGGCACTTTTTTCAGATCCTAAAATTATAGGATTAACACAGTCTTCCTTCTTGTAATTTCTTCCCCATCAGCTCTCTGTTAGGAAAGCAAGAAATCATATATAAACTGACTTAGTGTATGCACTTATCTTTAAGGTATACAGTATGTGCATTTTTCTGGTTGTTTGTGTGGGTTTGCTTGGGGTTTAGGTGAGTCTTTTGGTAATTGCTGTTGTGTAAAGTTACTATCTTATTGCACTGCAGAAAAAGAATGGATCTCTGTATTACTTCAGGGATCTCAGTCATCACGCTCATTCAGGCAAGGTAGTAAATAATCCATTCTGCTTAAAATCTTCTGTCACTTCCTTTTAGAGTTGTATTTTGGCAAATAGTGTTTCAATGATATAATTCCAATCCATTGCTGCAGCAATCCTGTAAATTAATTCTTCTGATGATTCTAAGCCTCAGAGACCAAGATTAATTCCACAGGTGCCAGAAAGTGGATAAATTGAAATGAGAAGGTGTTTAGAAATGGTTGTTGATTTCACAATAACATAAATGTCAATTAGAATCCTAATCTCAATTTTTGTTAGCTGTACTTTAAACCATCAAAATCAAATGTATTTGTTTAGCTTCTCCATAAGAAACATTGACAAATTTGGTCATATAATTATACTGGCAAGCCTAAGGCAGCAAAACCTTAACATTTCTTTAACATTACTCACAGGCTTATATGCTTTGCTGAATCATGGCCATTGTCTGTCAACAATCTCAGTACTGATTTACCTGACTAGAATTTGGGCACTAACAATTATGTAACAAAAGAAAAATAATTGCAATATTGCAAAAGCATTCAGATGACACAGCAAAAGGTCGACTTGACCCTTTAATAGAGTACGTGTCTATTTGTTATAAATCGTGATTCAGGAATATGACAAAAATCTGATCAGCCTTCAGCTGATTCTTTTCAGGTGAAAATCCTGCCTCCATGACTCATGCCTTTCTTACCTCAGCATTAGATGCAAGCAGTGTAGTCTTATAAGGCTATGATTTTAATCCACTGGGACATGATAAATGAATGTTTGAACTACTGCCTAGTGTGAATGTGCCATATCCTTCAAGTGAACAAATTAATATCTTTTTTTTTTTTTTTTGGTGGAGTTAGACTCAGCTTTCCATTAAAATGTTTACAAGGTCACTTCTGACTTTCTTTCAACTTATGAAAGCTGTTTAAACTCTTTAAATCCCTGATTTTTTTACCCAAGTTTATTTTTAGAAATATCTAGAATTTTCCCCTCCTTCCTTATGTATGATAACATCATTTTCAACACACTTGCAAAGTTAATTGGATTCAAATAAGCCTTGTTGTTGATGATCTTCTTGTTTCCTCTGAAAGCAACATAAAGAACATCTGGCATATGGAATCTATCTATTAAACCTCTGTAGCAACTGCAGAATTGGAATCCCATTCGTAAATGTTTGTGTCCTTTTTTTTTTTATTGTTATATTTCCAAAGAAAACAACATAATAACAAGATGAAAAAAAAAAATCTGTGGAATAGAACTGTGCCTTGAAGCAACCTCAGATAGGCCATATTTGAATATTGTAAAGTCTACATTTAATATTTAATTTAATATTCATTTGAGGAAATTAATAGTAGGGTGATACTAGATACCCTCACTTTCACATTCTGATATGTTATTAATAGAAATATTAAACTTGTTCAACATGATTAAAATCTAATGGTAGGAAGTTACATTTAAGCTCTTTGGTAAAAATGCCAAGAAGGGCAAGAGTTTGCCTCTTTGTTCATCGTTCGGGAAAGAACTTTCTGTTACTCTCCAGAAGCAAACCTTAGACACTGCAGAATAATAAAGGTCAAATAGTGAAAAAGATAAGGCAGAGTTCAGCCAGACTTTCAGCCCATGTATGTGTTTTTTCAAGAACTTACAAGTTTTTGCCTTATGGATTGACAATTTTTCATGCTGTTTGTTTCTGTCTAAACTTTGAGTACCCTTAGCCTTGAGTGCTCTGGTTCCATCAGTTGTGGCACTGACAAGGAAAAACACATGATAATAAAGCATTTCCTTGCATATTGCATGATCAAGAGGCTTCTTTTTTTCCCCATATCTTTATATGTACATTAGCATGTAAAAAAGCCTGCAAGATAAATTCAAAACTTAACAATGTCAAAATTCACCATTCTGCCACCTTCTTCTGCAATGACATTGATCCCCTTATTGATCGCAGTTATAAACCTCCTGTGAGATACCATATCTCAGTTAGTTTCTTACACTGGATCTGACACAAAGTCAGTTCATTCACACTGGATTCTATATCCATCTTGGAGGCACTGCAAGATTGATGGAATATTTTTTATAAGCTGGTTAAAAAAAAAAAAACAAAAATAAACAAACAATAGTCAAGTCTCCCTAGTTACAAACCCTATATTTGAACATACAGAGAAGTATTTACTCACACCTAGTAAGTAATTATTCTTCTTCCAGGCTGCAAAATTGGACACTGATAAGCTAGGGGTCAAAAAGGAAGTGGAAGTCAGCTATCTAAACTCCTTTAAACATTTGGCTTTAATTACTTTGCACAAACAAGAAAGTGATTAATGGGACAACAGATTAATGGTAGAGTTCTTATACCTCAGTGCAATGGACACTTTAATCCACTCTTGGTTTTGCATTCTCCCTCTGAGTTCAGGGATACTACTCACACATCTGAGGTTAAACATGGTAATGTTTGCA